TGGAAGCTGCAGGAGTGCTGGTCACCATTCTCAATGATCTTCACAGCCACCTGGGTCCTGCTTTCTCAATGATAGGCCAGTTTCACCTGCCCAAAACTGCCCTGGCCAATGAACCTGAGAACCTGGTACCCATCCAGGACCTCCTCACTGTTGAAGGCTGTGAGACCTTCCATTGTGGGGATACTCACCCCCACCCCCCACCCCTGCAATCTGACACTTGGAACACTTACTAATCACCTAAATTAACAATAAAACTGTGAAACAAATTAAATCAAACAAGCAAAATTGAAACAAAAATGAACAAACGGAATATGCTAACAGATAATGCTAACTATATGAACTATAGTATACTAATCACTAAAACTGTATCAAAATTAAGAATTAAAGTTATAAAACACACAGAATACTAAAAATGATAAAGTAAAGCAACACCAACTATGGTAACTATGGTAACAATTCTAATCAATAAGTCTTATAATGTTCCTAACTAAATCAAAGGATTAAAAATGAGAAAACAATCAGAAAATGGGAGAAACACAAGAATGATAAAATGAACACAGCATAAAATACATTTAGCTTGTGATAACAAAAAAAAAAACAAAAAATAAATAAATATTTAAAGAAAATAAAGACACAAGAATACAAAGTAAAAATGGGAGGGGGAGAGAAATTGAAAAAATAGAAAAAAGAACAAAACAAAATGAAAAAAAAAGGAAAAGAACCACTAGGGTAAAAAGAACAAATAGACCAGACAAAACAACACACAGACAAATAACAACACAAAGGACAAGACAAGGGAAAACCAGTAAATGTCATCCAAGTCCTTCAGGCAGTCTCCACAGAGCTTCCTGGGCCAACTGAACAAGAACCTAGGCCAAGCCAGGGAACTGTTAAGGCAATTGGAATGACATAACAATGGCTCATCTGATGTCAGAGCAAGCTATAAACCAATCATGGGTGATGATACACCTTGGTGGTTTTCTCAAGAAACTTTCTACTTGGTTAAAGTGAAAGGGCCCCAAAAATTTTTGTTTATGTTGGTGATAGTAATTGATATTTAGGTTTTGATAAATTAACAGCTGAAGGCTGTGTCAATGGACTTTTCATTTCTAGTTTTAAAATTTGTAAATAACTCTTGGCTTTGGTAGAACTCCTCTAGTCTACACTCAGAATATTCAACATGATACATCTCAACACGTTGGTACCACTTCACTGGCATCATGACAATAGAACAAAATATTATGCTTGCCAAGTCACCATCAGGTGCATGGTTCATATTCATAGAGCTGAGAGGGAGGTTTCTTTCATCATTTACCCTGAAGTTCATCATCAGATTGCTCCTCAGAAACCCTGGAAAGCTGCAAGGTAGTGGGTTGATGTAGTCCAGTGTGGAAGGCAAAGTAAGAGCAAATTGTGAAATCTATAACCTCCAAAACTGCTTCAAATCATAAGGAGGAAGAAAAGACATTCCAGGATATTTCAGTCCTTTGGGGTTACCATAACAAGACCCTGACCTGGGTAACTGAAAAAGAACAGGAATTGATTTCTCATTGTTTTGGAAGCCAGGAAGTCTAAGATCAAGGCCCAATAGATTGATGATATGGGAATGACTCACTCTCTGTTTCTAAGATAGTACCTTCTTTTTTTCTAAAGATTTATTTTATTTATTTGAAAGAGAGTTACAGAGAGAGGTAGAGACAGAGAGAGGTCTTCCATCTGCTGGTTTACTCCCCAGATGGCCACAACGGCTGGACCTGTGTCGATCCAAAGCCAGGAGCTTCTTCTGGATCTCCCACGTGGGTGCAGGGGCACAAGGAATTGGGCCATCTTCCACTGTTATCCCAGGCCATAGCAGAGAGCTGAAGCAAAAGAGAAGCAGCAGGGACTAGAACCTGCACCCATAGCAGATGCAGGTGCTTCAGGCAAGGCCTTTAATCTGCTGTGCCACAGCGTGGGTCCCAGATGGTGCCTTCTTAAAAAAAAAACTGATAAGGAAATTAAAGGCCAGTGGCCTAGTGTGGGCAATTCAGCCTAGATGTAGGTGTTGAAATGTTGCACAAGTATTATAATTTTTTCCAATACCTGAATGCTAATTTCAGAAAAATACAGTGCCTTCTTAAGATTCCTCATGAGGAACAGCCTTCTTAAGGTGTCATCCACCTTACAGAAAGTCCCCCATCCTGGGGCTGCTGTTGTGGGTGGGTTAAGCCACCACCTGTGATGCCAGCATCCCATATGGGTGCTGGTCCTAGTTGTAAGGCTATTGGATGGTAGGGGGAAGATGACATAGAACTACTTACATAGCTGTTATATAGGGGAAATAGAAATCTCCATAGAGAGACTCATTTAAAGAGCTAAAATTCTATGAACAATTGTTCAATGAGGCAGCAATACAGCCTCCTAGAAAGAGCACGGGCTTCAGAATCAGATCTGGTCAAACCCCAGCTCTGTCGTAGCTGCTTTAAACTAGGCAAGTTTCTGAATTTCTCTAAGCCATTCTTCTATAAAATAGAGACAACAGCACCCACCTTGTAAGGGATTAAATAATCCAAGTTGCATAATGGAAAATGTGGCACTCAAAAAAATTAGCTTTGGGGACCATTATTCAGAAAAATTAATCTAAATCCCCCATCCTGTAGTCAGGAAAACTTTAAAAATATAAATAAATCTTATTTAATTTTTATATTTTAAGTCATTTGAAAACCTATTTTTCTTCACACCTTTCCCCATATTATACTATTCCAGTCATCTTCAGGCTTTTTATATTTTTTTCAACTGATCCTTTCATTTTCTGTTTTCACCCTCATTTCCATTCCCCTTTTACATTTCCTCTTGGTTCATGTCCATGAAACAACTGAGATGTATTATACACCTAACAAGTATCAGTGTTCTAACTATTTTTTTTTTGAATTAACTCATTTGACACACTTTTCCATCAGGATAGTTCTACTAAAACCAGCTAAGGTTTTCTTTTTTCCCCAAATTTGAAAGCTACATGTTACTGTCCAATTCCCCCTTCCTGTAATGTTTCATAAACTCTTCATTGTCAAGGTGCTAAATTTAGCATGACATCTAATAAATGAGGAAAATGAGGACAAAGAACTATGACAAAGAGAGGACCACAGGGAAGTAACTGTCTGAGAATCCTAATAGTACATGATCTTAACTTATGAGAGGGTCTATTACTAGAGTAAATTAGAAAGAAACAGCCCCTCACTGAAAATCTGTATCAAAAAATAAAATTAATCAAAATAGAAACAAAATTCTACTAGTACAAACTAACCTGAGTGGTTTGATGGTTAGATTGATGGTCACAGTCACTGTACTTCCTAAATGGGTTTTCTGCATTCATGTTGAAGTGGCACATAAATGTAAGCTCTGGAAAGACAGGTAAAATATTTTAAAGGACCCAGTTACTGCATATCCTATAAATAAAAAAATATTTTACTTTGATAACTGACTGAATATGTGGGGACTCCATGTAATCCAACGATATGGTTATTTGCTATACAGTCCTGTGCAAATATTTTTTTAAAGTGCTTTTTTTCCCATAAGGCTTTGATCCTACAGTTTATACAGGAATATAGCTACCTCATCCAGCATGTAGCATATTTTACAAGTCTTCAAGTTCAACAATCCAAATTGTTCATTCACATTTTGTCCAAACACAGCATCCTTGAGGAGTATGGCAAGTCAGTTAATCATCTAGAGACATACAAACATCTCCTGATTCATCCCATTGAGATGAATCATTCTGATCTCCATTATCAGATATTTCTATTTCACTCTCTTCTTATTTTTCATCCTGAGGGAATTCTGTATCCTGTCCCTGATCTACACCTTCTTGCCCTCCTGGTTGTGATTTATCTGCAGTCTACACAAACACCAAAGTCTATCCTGGGGGTTGATGCTGTGGTGTAGAGGGTTAAACCACTGTCTGAAGCAACAGAATTCCATATGGGCACCAGTTCAAATTCCAGCTGCTCCACTTCCAATCCAGATCCCTGATAATGTGTCCAGAAAAGTAACAGAAGATTACCCAAGTGCTTGGACCCCTATACCCACATGGACAGCCTGAATGAAGCTCTTTGCTCCTTAAATCAGCTGGGGAATGTAACTGACCTATTGTTGCTCCTCTGGGCTCTTGAATTCTTGCAAGACAGGCTGTTAAAGGTGTTTATTATATCTTCAAATTTAAAGTGGTGTTAGCTATGTAAGTAGTAGAGAGCTCTTGCTCTCTCCATCCCTTTCTCTCCCCTTCCCTCTGTCTCTCCCTGCTGAAACTGTCTTTCAAATAAATTATTTAAATTTTTTTCTTTTTTCTTTCTTTCTTTCTTTTTGACAGGCAGAGTGGACAGTGAGAGAGAGAGACAGAGAGAAAGGTCTTCCTTTTGCCGTTGGTTCACCCTCCAATGGCTGCCATGGCCGGTGCACTGCGATTATCCGATGGCAGGAGCCAGGTGCTTCTCCTGGTCTCCCATGGGGTGCAGGGCCCAAGCACTTGGGCCATCCTCCACTGTACTCCCAGGCCACAGCAAAATTAATTAATTTTTTAAAATATTTAGTAAAAAAGTCAATTATTGAGAACATAGAAGTAAACCCACATATCTACAGCCAAGTGACCTTTAACAAGGTCCTAAAAATACATATTGAAAAATAAATAGTTTTCACAATAAAATACCATTGAGAAAAGTGGACACCCATATGCAAAAGAATGAAGCTAGACCTGTCTCTCAACACACACAAAAATCAACCTAAAATGGTTCAAGATATAAACCTAAGTCCTGAAACTATGAGCTAATAGAAGAAAGCATATGAAATGCTTCAGTATATTTGAATGGTCTCAAAAGCACAGAAAAGAAAACAAATAGTCAAATGTGCTTCCATCAAATTAACAAGCTTCTACATAGTAAAGAATACAATGACTAGAGTGAAGAGACAAGAACAGAAAGGGAGTAAATATTTGCAAAACATATGTTGAGAAGGGGTTAGTAATAAGAACATGTGAGAAACCCACTGAAGAGGATACAAAGAGAGGTATGCACCATTAGTCACCTCTTGTGACACAACAAACCAGTTTTTAAATGTAAACTGCAGACATCCTGACCAATACAGCAACATAAGACATTCAGGCCACTGGCTAGTAGCGACCAGTGATGGGATGACAGGAGGAACTGTTCATATACACCATGACACCAACTCTTAAGAGAACAACTACTCTACTAGAAATTCATGTCTGGTGAAATGGGGCCAGGTTCTTATTCCTGTATTTCCAAATGGTAAGTAACATCACACAATTTTACAAGTTAAAATGTCATTTGTGATTGCTATATCTCTAATTATATAACATGAGGTACTGCTGGGTGCAGGGAAAGGAATGAGTTAAATTTTAACTGTATCTGAAATATCAACAGTCTCTATGTGCCATCACAACTTTCTATTGTGAAAACTCCCACTTTTTTTCTGAGTGGAAATTCTCAAAAGCAATATCAGACAGGCTTTTTGCTTGACATTCAATAGTTATTCAGCATATCACCTTTGCTTAATTAAAAATGAGTGCTATAAAAATTACATCTTAGCAAGGTTTCATCTCTGGATGCAACAGACTGTTGCTGGCTAAGTGGTAATTACAGTGTATTGATTGAGCTCGACCGGATTCTGCTCATCTGCAGCAGAACCCACTGGAACAGCCCCTTCCCTGTGGCCACGCTTCTTCACATGCCCAGTGCTCTCCTATATGCTTCTCTTGAGGTCTAGCCTTTTACCTTGGAAACAACCAATCATGGTTGGCTCTAATCACACACACACACACTGTGCTGCAAAGCTCACACATTAGGGAAAGGCCCTACAGTTACAGGCCCACTGGTGTTTGGGAACAGGGATGGCTGAGAACACCCTGGCACCTCCTCCTAAGAAGTGATACAAAGGGTCCCAGATCTCAGAGCTTGCCCTTTAAGTGTTTACAGCATCTGTTGGTTTGATTTGAAGAGGTCAATTATTTCACTGCTCAATGACAGGAACAAGAAGAACTGCCTTGCACATCCTCTAGAATCACACCTCAAGTGGTCCTTTGATTCCAGCAGAGGGGTCTGTCCACAGGGCCAGAGCAGGATAGGACCCTCTGTCTTCCCAGTGAAGCAAGACCCCAGATGAGACTGAAGAGGAGACCAGGCCCAGGAGCTGGGAGGAAAAACAGGAGGGTAAGGTCCAGGAGAGGACTGGGGACAGAATAGGACTGCATGTGTTCACTGGAGCTGGGCTCCCTGATGGTAGCATGACAGCCAGGGTTTCTTCTGTCCATGTTTGGTCTCAAGAGTGCAGGCATAGAAGGGGACCTGAGATCAGGCTGTTATGACCATGTGGGCAGAGGGCCTGAGCATCTCAGTGTCCTCAAGTGTGTATGGGACACCCATTGTATGCAAGAACACTTAGGAGATGAACACTGTATGTAAATTTATGTGGTGGAGCTGCTGAGTTCTGGAGGGGCAAAGATCAAAACATAATGCCCAAGTTCAAAGTAACAAGTACACAAAGGGTGAAGGAGGGGCAGGAAGACCTATAACTGACATCCTGCAGGTTGCTTCCCCAGCCCAGTCCCTGTAGATGTAACCCTAATAGCACCTTGCCCCACATGCATGTCTGAACCTTTACTTATTCCTGGCCCCAAAATTATTGGTCCAGCTTAGGTCCCCTCCTCTGAGGCACACTCAGTGCTCAGGCCCTCTGCCCACATGGTCATAACCCTTGGTTACATTGGGGAGTGGATGGAAAGCTCTTTCCAACTTTGAAATAAACACACTCTGATTTTAGACACAGAATTCAGCTCATGGCCTGCACATCCTTGCATCCAAAGCATATGTCTGGTCCCCAGCCTGGGGCTCCACTCACTGAGAGGACTAACACCTTCTGACACTGCCTGGACACAGGGCAGGAGGATCAATGCAGAATCCACAGAGGTAAGACAATGAGGAAGGAGGAAATAGAGCCACTGTCCCTCTTCTCTGGCCTGGTATTTCCTCTCTAGAAAATGCTTACTTAAGAGGAAAAAAAAAACTTTTCATTGAAATGGGTCCTATTATTCCTGACCTTATACTTTTTTTCTTCTCATCTTGGCACCATCAGGAGTACTTAGCTGTCGCTCCCCGTCTTCATGGGGGAACGACACTAAGCCCTGCCTAGGCTTCATATCCGAGTCACGGCACCATTATGTCGCTCCCCCTCTTCGTGGAGGAGCAACACAGGACCCTGCGCTGTTCTTTCGTCTGCTCGGCCCTCCCCGGGTTTGCTGCTGGTTCTTCCCGGGTTGGCTACTATCCCTTCCACCTCCGTGGAAGGGCAGTTCCCCCTGGCCGCATTCCCCACTTCCGCAGGGGAGCGGCACACCGCCGGCCGGTTCTCTCGGGGGCTGCACGGGTTCCCTTAGATGTTCCCCATAGATGTTTCCGGTGCATGCCGTTTCTCTCCTCCTTTATAGTCCTTCTCTGCCAATCCCAACTCGGCTGCCCACACGCCGAGTACGCTGCTCTCCAATCAGGAGCAAGTCCTACAGTTAATTGGTTGAACTGGAGGCAGCTGTGCGGAAGCTGTTTACTTCTCTCCCAGCGCCATATTGTGGGAGAGCAGATGCATAGAATAAGTCTTAATTCGAGTAACTTAGTCTAGTCCGGATTGCTCCCCACACTTAGCAATCAGCAGGCTTTCTGTGCCACAGGAAGAAAGGTCAAGTTCATTTCTCTACACAAGAACAGGAAAGCTGATGAGGAACCTGTGCCAGCAAATGCCCAAGGACAACTCAGCAAGGCTGAGCCATCGCATCAGCAAGAGCACCAGCTATCATCACAGGGGCAATGAGACACAGCCTAATGCCCAAGCTGGGAGACAATAAAAGTGAAAAGAACTCTATTGGGTGTGGGCACAGCTTCACCTTCATTAAGCAAAAATCTAAAATCATCCAGGAGCTCATTATTCATTCTTCAGAGGTTGTGTGTACTGTATACCTCTAATTGAACAGGAATGAACAAAACATAGAGCTTCTTCCTAGAGAGGCAAGATCCACATTTTTCTCATCAGGCAAGTTTGACAGGGGACCCAGCAAGGAGGAGAGAGGGATGGGACAAAGTGTAGTGGGCTCAGGGTCATGAGAAAGGATATTCTGAGAGGAGGGATCAGCAAGGCCTGAGTATGAAGGCGCGCGCACGCGAGAGAGAGAGAGAGAGAGAGAGAGAGAGAGAGATGGAAACACAGGAAGTGATCAGCCCTTCTGTGTACCTGAATAACATGGACAGGGGTAGGATGTCCAGAGAACAGAGGTTGGGCCAACTTAACAGATTGCAAATGTCAAACTTATTAAGGTGCTTAAATCTGTTCCTAGGGAAGGGGTTGGGGTTGTTTAGCAAGCTTTCTCTGGAAAAAGACAGGAAACACTTCCAGCTCCATATTACATAGGCCACTGTTAGAACTAGAAACAATATGAGCCCTGACCATCTACAGGTTCCATAGACATAGGCACAAAGTCCTCGGGGAAAAATGTGTCACTGCAGCTGACAGGTGCCACATAGTCAGGTCTATGTTATTTGCATCTGTACTGAACAGACTCCTTCTTATCATGATTCCTTAAACAATACAGAACAATGCTCATTCACATAGAATTTATATCCTATTAGATATCACAAGTCATCTGGAGATGACTTAGAACATATTGAAGGATGGGTATAGATTCTATGTGAATACTACACTATTTTTTAAAAGGATTTGAGCACCCATGGATTTTGATATCTGTGGGGATATAAGAAATATTACCCTCAACAAGCAAGGACTGTATTCAGCTATGTCACTCTAGCATGAATGTAGTCACAGATAATACAGAATGAAATGGGTGAGCAATGTTCCAATAAAACTTTATACATAGGCACACCTGAATTTCATATGCTGTATATTATGAAATACTCATCTAATTTTGAGAATGTTTATTTATTTATTTGATTGAGGAAGAGACAGAAAGAAAACTCCCACTGAGCAGTTCACTTTCCAAATGCCACTAACAGTCAGAACTGGCACCGGCCAAAGCCAGGAACCACAAACTCCATCCAGGTCTCCCACATGGGTGACAGGGGTCCAAGGACTTGGAAGATCACTGCCAATTTCAGGGTGAACATTAACAGGAAGCTAGAGTCGGGAGCTGGAGCCAGAGATTAAGTCTAAGCACTATCATGTGGGATGCATGCACCTTAGCCAGCTTCTTACCCACTAGGCCAAATGTGCACTTTAACAACCATTTAAAAATGTACAAGCCACTCTGAATACACCAGCTCAATAAAATGAGTGTTTTCCAACTTTTCACCTGCAATCTATAATAGCCCTGCTATTGGCAATGAGCACTGCAGACAGCTTTGGAGCACTAATACTGGCAGGCAAGAGAAAGACTGGCTCTAATGTTCTAGAAGGACAGGGATCTATCGGTTCTTGCTCTTCATAGCTCCCTCAGGTCTGTTAGTCTGTTCCTGCTGCAAAACGCCAAGATGGGCATAGTTCTTTGTCTCAGAGTTATGGAAGCTTCAAGTCTTAGGTCAAGCAAGGCAGCTTCTTTGGCCACAGGCCCCTTCTCTTGGCTTGCAGGTGGTTGCCCTGTCAGTATGAATTCCTGTGACCTTTTTTTGTGGGCTCATGAAGGAAATGAGCCAAAAAGCTCTCTGGCATGTCTTCCCACACAGACACAGACTCCAGTGGATCTGGATATGTTACTGAGCATCACAGTAGAGGGGATGCTTTTGGCATAGTGGGACAAGGCCAAGGATGCTATTCAGATACCACATGATGCACAGGCCACCCCCATCATCAGAGAATGAGCCAGCCTCAAATGTCAACAGTATCAAGGCTCACATTCTCCAACATGAAGAATGGATAGCTAGAAGCACAGAAATGAAGACACACAATTTAGAAGGGGCTGCAAAACACCCTCTTCGAAAAACAAATAGGGCTTAGTATCAGTCATTTGCCATATCAGAGCAGACCAGAACTTCATTTGTTACTTTTTTTATTTATTTATTTTTAAAGAAGTAACAAATGAAGTTCTGGTCTGCTCTGATATGGATGAACTCAGAAACATGATGCTAGACACATGGGGCACATGTTGCGGCACAGCAAGCTAACACTGCTTGCAATGCTGGCATCCCATATCCAAGTGCCAGTTCAAATACCAGCTGCTTTACTTCCCATTCAACTACTTGCTAATGCACCTGGGAAAGTAATGCTAGATGGCTGAAATGTGTGGGTCCCTGCCAATCAAATGGGAGACCCAGATGGAGAGTTAGGCTGCTAGCTTTAGCCTGGCACAGCCCCCAGCATCATGGTTATCTGGGGAGTGAACCAGATGATGGAAGACCTCTTTCTCTGACCATCAAATAAAAACTAAATGTTTTAAAAATTTTGGAAAGAGGAATTATGTACACATATTTGTGCTAAAGGAATCAAAGGAAAAGAGGAAAGGATTTTTCATTTCTTCTAATAATTAGCAATGTATCAAAATCAGTTTTAATTCAGTAAACACAAATAATAAATAAAATAGCAAAGTAAAAAAATACAAATACAATCCACCATACAGGATGTGATCCAATTGTGTGAAACCCACAGAATAGAGATCCACAGCAACAGAAAGTCAACTAATGGCTGCACAGGCAGGGGAGGGGCAATGAGGACTGACTTCTGAAGGGAATGAGTTTTTGAAGTGACAAAAAATATTCAAACTCAGAGCAGATGTCTGGCTGAATCATGCAGACACCTGCATCCAACTTAAAGTGCCTGGGTTCAATACCTGGCTCTGGCTCCTAATACCAGCTTCCTGCCAAAGCAGACCCTGGGAGGCAGCAGGTTGATAGCTCAAATAGTTGAGTTCCTGCCACCTAGTGGGAGACTTGCATGGAGTTCCACTCTTGTGGCTTCAGCTTGGCCCAACCCTAGCCTTGCAGGCATTTCATGAGTAAATCAGTAGATGGGACTCTCTCTTTTCAGAATTCATGGATTAGAAAGATCACCTAAAATGCAAATATAGATGGTTTTGGTATTTCCAATTTTGGTTGTTCCAAGGGAGGTGAGGCCAAGACAAACTGCAAGAGTTAATGGGATTTGGCCAGAGAAGTAGGTACAGTGTGGACCAGTTAGTGAACATATACTGATTTATAAGTGGCATTAGGTGGTTTGTAATGTTTTTATGCTAATTTTTAATGGAGGAGAAGCTGGAATTTAATTCTTTAGCTTCTAAAGATGGATTTCATTTGGCAGTCCAGCATTTGTCTCAGGATTTGGATTTAAATTGGACATGTTAGAGTGTCTTTTCACCTGCCAATTTCTGGTATTATCTGGTGGGGGCAGCCTAGTAAAGTAGGTTGTGTTGTCTAGAAACCATACCTGGCATCAGGTAGGTGGGACTACAAACATGGCAGATGCTCCTTTTGGGGTCAGTGGGACTTCTGCCCTTACTGGAAAATGGTCAACAGACTCTATCAGTAACATGGCTACTACCATAGCTGGTCACAAGCTGCATAGCAGAATCCTGGCACTACAATTTTTCTGAGATTTATGCTAGCTTTCACCACTCTGAAATGTATTCTAGATACACATTTTTTAAAGATGTGTTTTATTTATTTGAAAGACAGTATCACAGAGGGAGGTAGAGACAGAGAGAGTGGTCTTCCATCTGCTGGTTCACTCCCCAGATGGCTGCAATGCCTGGAGCTGTGCTGAGCTGAAGCCAGGAGCCAGGAGATTCTTCCCAGTCTCCCACATGGGTGCAGGGGCCCAAGAACTTGGGCCAATTTTATTGCATTCCATGCCCATAGCAGAGAGCTAGATAAGAAGAGGAGCAGCTGGGACTAGAACTGGTGCCCATATGGGATGTCGGCACTTCAGGCCAGGGCTTTAACCCACTGCACCACAGCGCTGGCCCCCAAATATACATTTCTTTTTTTAAGAAAAATTTTATTTAATAAATATAAATATCAAA